CCATGTCGGAAGTTAACACTTTTTCATATCCATATACACAATTCATACTTTGTACGTGTTTTAGCGAATTAAAACAATGCCCGATTCAGGGGTAAACCACAATAAAAACGATGCAATACAATCTCGATATGACACTCAATTAAACTCAATTGTTTTTCAATTAATTAATCAATTATGCACTCTTCATATTTCGCATTATGTTTTATTTAATTCTACAATAAAAAAGATTTATTCCACAATATGAAAGGTAATAAAAAAGAACATATGTGTCGAGTGCATAAATTAAACAGGATTTTCCGTTTTATCCTATTTTATGGAGTGCTTTAATTGTGACTTTAATCAGCCAAATAATTTGAAGATTTTCTATTTAATGCCTGACTAAATAAACCACTACAAACTTATGCAAATTTATGTTCTGAACAATATCTACATATTTTTTTAACAAATATCCTCCGCCAGACTGACTTTCCTTATGTTTTGTTGAATATTTTACCGGATTATTTATTTGCGCGGACTGCGAGAAAAAAATGTCTGCATTATTTTGTTCGAATCCTATCATATTTCATGAATATACCCCACCCGTTGGCCCACAAAATCCTGACCATCTCATAAATTAAAAAATCAAAGTAAATAAATACAAAAAATAATGCTAAAAGCGTTAATATTAAATCGCATAAAGCTTTCAGTTCAGAGCGGAAATTATAAATTCTCATTTCGCTTCGGCGTTTTACACAATTGCAACAAAAAAATAAAAATGAATATAAAAAGAACCAAAACACAAATTTCCATCGAAGTTATTCATGGAAAAGTGGTGCAGGTTTTGTTTTACAATTTTCGCGGTTTTCGATAAATCATTGCAGCACAGTTTAAAGGCGAAATGTTTTGTTAATTTTGATATTTCTCTTTGATTGTAGAGATTTTAAGCTTAAATTTTAAATGTACGAGGGTTTTGAATTTAAAAACCACAGTTTAAAAATCTATTTAATGGATAACTACAAAAAACAACTCAGCCATAAAAAGGCTCTGATTGTTTTGCATAAATTATCTAAAAATCAGCACCAGAAGGCCTTTAAATTCGAAACATCTAGTGCCCCTAATGCATCTCAGGCAGCGGAAAAAAACATTCCCCAAATGGAATGCATATAGGGCAATTCCGGGAAGAGCTCCGCTGCGCCCTAATGAACTTGTGTGTTTTTCTTTCGTCTGGGGGTTGTGTATAAATATTTTTTTTTAATGCCAGCCACTCTCTTCTGTGCATATTCCATAAATATGCTCAAAAGCTAGAGGCTGTGTAGGCTGGAGAGGAACCATCCACTTAAGCGGACAATTAATATTTTCCATATTTCTTCTGTTTTGTTTCCCCCAGCATTCTCCTCGATTTGTTTACTGAAGCGTCGATTAAGTTGTTTCAGTATTAAGTAGCAGCCCTCGCTGATATATGGTTTATCTCAAGAAGAAAGCAACAGTAGAAGCCCTTGTCCCTATTTGTAAATACATCCCATGGCTGATAAGCTCTATAAATATATGTTCGAGTGGGTGGGCTGATTACTCAGAGATGCATTTGTGGGGCATCTCAGAAGGTTCAAAGCGTTGCCTTAAATGTGGAAAAAGCTCTGTGAATCTCTTTAAACAAGCAGCAATCATTAGGCCACAATTTCAACCAAAATTTAGGGGCAACCCTAAAAAAAAAACAGAAAATACGACTGAAGTGTTAAACCAAACCGGTTCTCACACAAATTTGCAAACGCACAATTAAGTCGCCTGGGATAGTCCGATGGTAGCATCCTGCCTGGTCAGTATCCTTTCCACAGCCCCCTCTCACTCCACACCACTTCAAGCCCTTGGACAATGTACGATGTGCCAAGGAAGACATCAACTTGTCACTTGGCAGCAGTAGCCAGTGGAATGTGTCCAACTGCAGTGCCAGCAACGGCTTTTAGGTCGGTTAATTTGTCAAAAGCAGCTTTTCTGAGTGAGGAACTGGCCCGAAAAAAAATACAATTGTATAAAGAGTGTTCCCCTCGACACTTTTTTTTCCTGGGAGGAGGGGGCTTGGGAACTTTCTGAGCCAAGTGTTTGCATTTAGCCCTGATGGCTGTGACTGATGAACAGAAATTAAACACGCTCTATTTGAGCTCCAAAAGCGTACAAACGACCCGGTGTTTCAATTTTTTCTTTTAGTATGCAACTCTCGGCACTGTTTTTCAATCCTTTCTCGGCTTTAAGTACGAGAATTTCCGGCCAAGTCGACCACTACCAGCCGGTGTTACACGCATATCGATTACGAGAGAGTGAAACGGCCAGTGGGAACTTCAAGTTAAAGACTACATAGTAAAAGTAGCACTGCCGGATTGCCCGATTGCCAGAGTGCCGTATTGCCGAATGGTTAATGAATCCCAACTTGTTCACTTGCAGAAAGCAGAACGGGAGCAAAAAGAGTGAGTAAATCAACTTTTAGCCCCCAACATTCCGCATTCCCACAGTGCATTAAGCCAAGGGACCAAGACAACAAATTCCTGTCCCAGGATATGACCTGGGAAACGACCAAGCCCGACCGACCAGCCAGACTATCAAGAGGCAATCCCAGCAACAGAAACAACTTGCGGTTGCATTTGCGGTTAAGGTAAGCATGCAAAGCCAAAAAAAAAAACAAAAAACGAATCTCAAAGCAAACTTTTGTCTATGTGTGAGAATTCGCCAGCTTCCTGAGGCGGGTAGGTGGGATTGGACCAAGGGCACGTGTTTTTATACGCCACTAGAAAGTGAGTCTTGAGAATGATTTCACAGCTTAACTTTACGACTGATGGAAAGTTTGACAAGGTGGCTAAGGGCTGAGTGGAAGTGACTTCAAATTGACCCTAATGGATCCAACCTATCTACCAAAAAAATCGATTAAAGCCGAAAGCTAAACTTGGACAATAGAAACATAAAAGTAGAGTGTGATTAGCTAGAAAACATGCCCAACCATCAGCCTAGTCTAGAGTTTACACTTTTCCAAGTATTTTAAATTATAGTCGCACTGCTAATAGATGACTAATATCAGCCAAGTTAACACAAATTCCAACATTCCAGTCCCCCTCTCTTTATTCAATAAAAAAACTATTTTCCATAATTCACTGTAATAACAGCGAAAACAGTTAAAATATTTTGTGTGTTTAGTTAATTAGCCACCGAAACAAAGTGTCAACAAAAAATAATAACCAACTTTGACGAAGAGAAATTTAAGGGGGCCAATTTTCATTTTTTGCTGACTTTGTGCCATTATTTAAGCTGTCGTACCAAAATATATCATTTCTGAATTTTGCTTACAAGCCTGCGTATATGTATTTTAAAGGCTTTGGCTTTTAGCCAAGTTAGCATGAATTTATAAGTAAGGTTGTTTAAACAGAAACCAGTCGAGGTTTTTTTATCATTTCAATTCAACGGAATTGGGAATTTTTAAATTATCAGCTCCAACAAAATGTTTTACGCATGACTCATTGAATTGCAAATTATTTTAAATTGGCTTATAAGTTCAGAGCCAACTGAGAGAGAAAAGTGGCACAATTTCGGGGATATTTTGGGCAAGTGCTTGACAATTTGCATATTTCAAGTTGGCAGCAACCGCACTTGTATGCTTCTCACTCCCGCCGACCCATTAATCAATAGCTATGAGACCGGATTAATACGTGATTTGCCAGGGACTAGACCCTAAGCCTACCTGTTAACATCCCCCGAAAATAATCCCACTTGACACAGGCACAATGCCAATAGGCCTGAGAGCGAAACCCTCACGATTCAGGATGGAATCGCAATGAATGGGAAACCCTAAGGTGCATTGTATTGTTTGTGTGCATTTCCTGATTTTTAATTAGCCAAACAAAATTTAACAAAGACAACAAGTTCTTGAAACTGTAGTCTGCGTTTAAAACTACGTGCCTGGCATTTCGGATGTCGAGGTCCTCCTCAGTGTCCGAAACCAGCACCTTCACACGTCGTGGAGGACAGGAAATTAATTCAATATCAATTTCACGGTGGGTACAGCAACCATCAAAATGAAAATTGCCTGGAAATGAAGTGAAAAGCCAAGGCTTGGAAGATTGTATAATCGCTCCGAAACCGCTTTGGCACTTCGGAAATATCCCCAGTCATCACATCAGTCACTCGGTATGACGATCTTGTGTCAGCACCTTGGCGAACTTGTAGCTTTTTTGTTAAACTGTTTCGCTACTTTGTGTGAAATAATAAGTTTTTTATTGTTTCTTTTCCACTGAAGTGCTTAATGTTAATTAGAAGATGAGCTCAACGTTGAAGGAGCTGGAATAGCCATTAATTTCCGAGTAAAATATGATATCCGTTTCAATAATTTCGAGGTATTTGCATTGTGTTTTGGATATTATTTCTCAGAAAACAAGGAAAAATACAGTATTTAAGCTCCAATATTTGAATTTTGAAAACTTTCCCACAATTTAGGCATTTTTTTTTATTTTTACCTTAGATATTCATCGAATTCAATTGTTTTAGGTTTTCAAAGTTGTCATTAATAAACGTTAAACAAATGAGCTTTGACTAATTAAGAGATCCACTGGGCCAGGCTATTTACATAAACAACTTATGAGTTTTTTAAATAGTTGGGAAGGCCTTTTGTGTGCTGCTTGGGTGACCTCTTGAGAGAAAAAATCAATGAAATTTACATAAAAATGCTGAGCAAATTGTTCAGTTGCAGAATTGCGGACATTGTCCGAAGAACCGGACAATGATGTACAGAAATCCGTATTTGCGTATAATCGTCCAAATGATCTTGGCAAAAGCGGAAATGAGTTGCCAACAGCTTGGCAACCGTTAGAAGTACAGGCCAGGCCTGGCTAAAATTTCTCAAGATTTCGCCCCGATTCTATAATCTTCAGTAACGAGATTGTAGATTTTTCTCCCCAAAATACATAGAAAAGAAATTAAAAGCCATCGAAGCAGCTTTCTTTAATAGCGAAAACTGGGTTAGATTGATTGATCTGGAAGCTTACCTTTAAGCCGGTGATGGTTTATATCCAAAGTTTTTTATGTGTGTAATCCAGAGACTTGCTGCGATTTTGATTGATGACGGAAAAAGAAGTCCGCCGAAGACAAGACAAGGTCGCACTGTTCTTGTTTTCTTTTCTTGGTTTGTTTTTTATTTTGGTTTTTATTGTAGCCCTTTGGCTGGCATTAAGCTATCACGCACTCCACTGTACTTTACATACGCGGCACATTACGCCGCCTTGGCCAAGAGGTGCGTACGTGCCTCGTGCAGCAGAAAAGGGGGGCGCCACCGCAGGGGAACGGATGCACCATGCACCATGCACAGGAAACAGGTGCAGCAGAGTTCTTCGACGCACTTGCGTTTGCGCACTTTGATTTAGTCTCCAAATCGGATCACTTATCTTCAAGACTTGTCATAAAAATAAATTCTGTGTTTTATTTTCGGCTCGGTTGCACTTTCAGTTTCAGTTTTGGCTTCGTCGGCACTAATCAGTTCGACTAGACTACCGTTAGCTAGTTAATCGCGATGTGGAGCGATGTCGACCGCACTCGGCTGTGTTTACTCGGCAATTGAAGTCTCGAAGCTAGCGGCTGCGAGGTCTATACCTGTCTGAGAGAGCCGGCTAGCTGGCTAGCGAGCGGAGAGCAGATCGAGCTAAGGGTCTACACCGCAAGAAATAAGTTATTTATTGAAAGTATGTGGCGGAAAAAAATTTGTTGTGTAAACAAATAACATTTAAAAATTTTTATTTTCGTTTTCATAAAATATTTACTTTTCTTGATAAAAACATGATTCCATCTATAATAGCATCTTGGTGGTAGAAAATTTTTGATGATATATACAAGGTCGTTAAATGTGCCCTTCTTCAAAATACTTTACTTTAGCTTCAGCACCAGTCCATAAAAAAAGCATAGAAAACCAAGATATTGTTTCTCCCGGTGTACGCTTGCAACATGTTGTCAGGGGCGTATGTGTGCTCTGCAACATGTTCGCTTTCTCTTCTCTTTAATTTTAAAACTCTCTCGGTTGCGGCTACACTAAGCCGATTTTCGGAGCCCAGCTTGAAATACACATGCCGGCACTTGTAAGATTACAATAATGAAGAAGATAGAAGAAGATAAAATATGTATGAATAATTCTCATATTATATATCTACGTTATGTTCTTGATAAATCTTTTCAGTACTTGGAAAGCTTACAAAAAAAACCATGGCTCTATTTGATATTATATTTCTCATTTCAAAACATTTTAAATTCATATTTTTAAGTCGTTGCCTGTACTTGGGAAATATATTTCACATTATGGTCTATGTTCATCCCATTTTTAAATCTAAAAAGTTATATTTTTAGCTCCCCTTCAGCTCTCTGTTTGTGTAGGCTGGAGTTTGAATATCACCTTCTGTCTGGGGCACTTACTCCGGACTCGGGAGAGTGGAAAACTGGTTTCCAATCAGACTCGGCGGCATGTGGGTTTCCTCGCGACACTCCACGTTTTGGGGATGGGTAGCAAAAAAAAGAACGGCAGACGGTTGAGTGACGCCGGATGGGCTCGGATAATGTTGGTGGGTTTTGGAGGGAGAGGCTGCCCTTTTCCCTGGTCTAGTGATCTCGACTTCCATGTGAAAAAATCAGTGACATAGAGGTTCTGTACGATGTTTTAATAAAAAACTACTTTTTGTTTATTACCTTAATATTTAATATTAATTTTAAAATATTTGACATTTAAAATTTATTTAAAAACTGTTACATAAACTGTAAAAAAGATCTTTCGACAAATATTTTTTTAAAAATAATTCACCAAAGTACATACGTATGAACTATTTTTAAACCCAGACTTCTGGTCGAGATTTTAAAGGTATTACTCACCTTCATACGTTGCAATCAAGATTGTGCAACATTTATAAATCATTGACGAACTTACCTTCCGCAATCTCATTTAAGAAGACCTGATTAATCAAGCATATAGAGTTATCATTAAAGAGACTTATCTTTTGTTGCTTTTAAAGACCGAATCTTAACGCCAAGAAACCAAAAAGAAAGTGCAAGTTTTCTTTGTTTTGACACCGTAACTATTTTTTGTAGTTTTGTTTTCTAACGATTTATTTCGACGAAACTACAGCAAAAACCAAATGTTGAAAAATTAATTTTGACAAGTTAAAAAGTCCAACGATTATTAATGAAAGTAAAATTATCATCAGCGAAGCAAAAACCGAAATACAAAAACCCCAACGCCGAGTTGGTGGATCTTTTGTTTTTGTTTGCTTAATAATTTGCAGGCCAAAGGGAAGCAACAAAAATCTGCGATGTGCAAAGTCAAATTCATTATATCTTGATAGATGGAGATGATGAGTGTACGGTCATAATTAATTCTTCGAGTTAAGAAAAACTTTGTGGCGAAAAATGCGGAACCAATTTGCGGTGCCTGCATATTGTTATTGATTTAATTAACCAGAGCGTGGCAAAGTTATGCAAACTTTTATTCAATTGGAGATCACAGCCGATATAAATAATAGGGCATATAGGGTCAATGGTCCATAGCTAATGCATCTAGTTCTTGGGCACAAAAATCATAGCAATACCTTAATTGGCATACCTTTGTAAAATGGTTAAATATTTGTGGAGAGTGTGGGGAAAACGATAATTAAAATGGTGTCTAGCACGCTTTTCACATGGACCTGTGAAAAAATAAACATTTCGCGTCCAGAGTGTGGGGTATCTGTGGCACATGTCGTTGCGTCTGGAAGCAGGTTCTCTTACAAGCTGTGTTTGCATTTGACTTTTAATTATGACCAAACATCATTTGAGGAAACGACAACATTTTAATTTTATATTCTCCTAGTTTTTATATTTTTTGCATTTTTTTTACAAGCCATTTCCAGAGAAGAGAACTACGAAAAATGGAAACATAAAACACCGTAGATGCAATTTCTGGCATCACTCACTTGGCGTTGTAATTGCCGACTCAGCTGCTGTTGCCGGCTGCAAGTTAACGGCCAATGGTCAGCAGCTGCCCCAGCCAAAACAGACGTGCTCCAATTGTAAACAAAACAGTTGCCCCAAACCCTGTATATGTATGTATGAAAAGCGTATGTATGTACAGGTTGATATAGTTTCGACATCAACATCAGCATCGGCATCAGTATCTGGGTCCGCATCTACTCCGGATGGTAGCGGAGTCTGTCAAGTGGGACACGATACCAACTTCCCCCCTGATGCTACTTTTTGCGTGCTGTGCACATTTCCTATATACTATTCACATGAGTGTGGGGTAAGCAATAGCCGTAAATCATAAATAAACGAAACGTGGCAGGAAGACAGTGGCACTGGCCCTTGCAGTGGCAGCAGTGGCCCAGTGATGGCTGCCATCCGTCACGAGAGCTTCGAGTTGAAATCATATCTCCATTCAAGTGATAGAAGAATTTGAGTTGGCCCCTTTGGGGGATTGCGCCGGCTATCCGAGTGACTCAGATAAATTGTTACTGAGCAGATCATAAAAAAGCAAACAGCGAACTGCTGGACACACCCCCACATCATGTGCATGTAGGAAAGTGTCCGTAACCAGGGTCAGGTGGCAGCGATATCGCCAGGTGCCGTATCGATAAACATAAGCTTCCGTTTGGGGCGTCTGCTCAAGTGGCAAGTGCCACGAGCGGCTCAAAAAAAAAAAAATAGCAATAAATAAGTTTAATAAAGCTGAAGCCAAAAGAAGCACAAAAATTAAGGCAGCTGTGGAGCAACTGCTTTAAGGGCCTTACAGGTGGTATTTTCTGATGGAGCCCCAGACACTGGAGAGTGCTGACGACGTCTTGGCCATATCCGCTGTCATCGTGGTCAGGTGGCCAGGTCGGCATTTGGCCAAGTCAAGCGGAAACTGTTCAAAGTATCCCGCAGAAGGATTCTTTGGCCTTCACAACATGTTTGCACTCCATTTGTCTCAATATTTTTTCTTCAAATGTATATATTTTTTTTGTGATTCGCATAAGATAACACAAAATTTATTAAATGGATATTACGCTTCCGTTTTGATATGATCCTTTTTATACAATACATTGGTTTTTGGGCATTTTGGCTTGTCCTTGGGACATTTTCCTTTGACAATTTTGCTAAAGGCTTTAAAATTAAAAAATATTAAGTAAAAACCAATTTACTTCTTATTTTTGACTTACGTTTTAAGGAGTTCATTTGTCGAAGGCATGATGCTCGTACCACGAGGCATCTGTTCAGAGCCATGAAGACACAGCTGTCATCAGATGCGAATCCGCAGTGAATATTAGTCTTCCAGGAACACTTCCTGCAACTATCTTCCAATCCACTGATCCCAAAAATTAGCAGTCCTTAAATTTTGTGAAAATCACTTGTACTTTATTTGTAGTGTATTTCATTTAATTTCATACCAAAAATGCTTAACAAATATATTTTCATTGTGATGAGTTCCAGAAAGGTTGAACATAAACTAGTTTTCTTAATAAAGAGAACAGATTAGTACTTTCTTACTGGAACCATTTTCATTCGGCACAGTTCACACTTTAAGTTTCTTCTTTCCCGGTTTATTAAATATTTTTAAAGAATATGTAGTTTAGTTTTTTAGTAAAAACAAAATTATGCAACATTTTCGAAGGGCTCCACATATCTCCAATTATAAATGGATGGGGTATAAATACTAAAAATCGGTAAAAATTTTGTTGCAGATTTTGGTTTTTGGACGAATTATTGGGCAAAGATACATAGTATAAGCGTTACTGGGAGCTGTACTTTAATTTGCATGCATTTACCAATTTTCAAGAAAATACTGAATAAAGTATTATATATCAGTTTTAAATAAACTTTTAGATAATCTAAAATTTTCTAATATTTTTATATCTACATAGATTGTTTTAATGTCTAAAATTCTAGAAACAAAAATGTCAACGACTTTATGCATTTAAGTTATCGTAATCAAAGAAACCTCTTTTACTCAAACAAAGTAAGAGTTGGTTCTCCTCAAATCATTGAAATCATATAAAATTTTATTGCATTCGTCGCTGTGATGCATTGTAAATTGATTTTATAGAATCGACTGCCCATTAAAGTCGATCGAAGTGCGTTATAAACTGTCAACCGACCATTTTCAGCCCATTGATGCGAGGAAGTTGTTTTATATAGCAATGCTTTTAAAAACTGTTCTTGTCAATCTCGGTAAGTCTAATAGGTGAAGTAAAAAATTCTTTCCCAATTACTATATTTCTTGGTCCTTGGCAGGTGTGGTACTTGTTGCCCTTATATCCACCGACCAAAATGGCTGCAATGGCTTTTCCGCACTGGGACGATCGCAATATCCATGGGCAAGGTCAACTCACAAGACGCCTTACAAAATATCTAATGATATTTAAATAAAAATTTTTTTTATATACACAAAATAAAATTTTTGAGTCATTTGAATTATTTAAGAGGTTACATTTCATTGAAATATTATTTGTATATGAAATAATATGAATGGTTCTGCATCCTGTTTTTTAAGGAGTTTAATAATATTAATATAATATAATTTATATAATATATAATGTAATGTAATATGAAATAATAAATATGTATTATACAATGCTCTATATTTTATTGGAAGCTTCAAACATGCTAATGTAGGTTTATTTATAAAAAAATAATATATTTTTGTGTATTATTTTTAATATACAATATTTTTTCTAATGACTAACTTTAGGAAGTTAGAGCTCTCCCAGCTTTTATGGATATTAATAAATGGATATGGATTTTTTTTAGGAAAGTAAACGCTGTGTACACAGTTTCCAGTTTGGGCACTTTTAAACAAAGACAAACCCTTGGTTTTTAAATATTTGTATCATGCTGTTAAGGAGAATTTTTTTATTGTTTTTTTAAATTAAAAACAAAACAAAAAATTAATAAAAAATCTTCAAGGTTCTGGAAAACTTAATACATATTATTTAAATAAAAACCAAAACCAATAAACATTAAACTTTGGACCAAATCGGAACTATAATGAAATTATTTTCCATTTCGGTCACACTTGCCATATCAGTTCTCATGGTCAGCCGTAAATTTAATTGATTCTTGGCCCTCTGATTGCTAATATAGGGAGTTTCCTATAAAAGCGGTCCCAATCTTAGTACCCTGCACACATCAAGTCTACAACGAAAATGAAACTTATTACAGTTTTGGCCTTTGTCTGTGGTAAGTAGAATCCTTGGCCAGGTCAACGAGTGATAAATTAAAAATAGCCTCCGTGATTTTGTTAGTAGCAACGTTTGCTGTCCTTCACGGAGTGTACGGATCTCCGGTGCCGGCCCCGGGTCCTAAACCCAGCCCGGCAGCAGATCCGAAGCCCAAGGCAGACCCCTCACCCGATCCGGTCCGATGGACTCATCCTCCAATCAATCCGAATCCTGACCAAATAACGATTCCTTCGGTGCTTGAATCGAGAGTGAACCCAGGCCCGCAGGGAGGCGATGCCAACTTTGTGGCCCTTTCAGCCAACGCCGATCCTTTGCTTCCAGCTCCAGGAGCCCCAGACCAGAAGATCGAGGAGACCTCGTCGGTCTAAAATGGGGGCTAGATCCCCGGAATGCGCAGCAGCAAAGTCACAAAGGAGTCTGGACACGCACACAAGAAAGACACACACACGAATATAATATTATATAATATTTGATGCATGTATGTACGCACTTATATATTCCAACATCCAGCATGGGCATTAATAAAATTGCTAAAAAAAAAAAAAAAACAATTTTTAGAAGGGTTTTATATAATCCATGTCTCTGGATCCCCTAAAAAGATAGAAGAAAAAGAAGATAGTCATTGTCTTTTTCTAAGCCAGCTAAGGTTAACATCTTGGTTTTTTTTAATTTTTGTAATATTTTGTAATATTTACTATCCTACTATTTAGTTCCTACTATCTTACACCAGTTTTCTTGTTATTGTCACAATTTAAGAGCAAATCAATATTTACAAACTGGGGTCGCCCGGCACAACAGTCACCTGACATCGACACCGGTCGACAAAAAGGCCAGCAAACGGGCAGACCAAGAGCCGGCGACCGGATTTGAGCAAAAAAAAACAAGAAAAATGCCATGAATGGGCCAATAGCATGAATGAAGAAAAAAATCGCTTGGAAAGAGGAAGCGACAGCTCCCAAGTTTATCAATGAAGTCACTGTCAGGTTGACGACCAGAAACCCCTCGGCGACCACAAAGACAATGGAATTGGTGCTAACCACCAATGAACAACAAAAAGCCACACGAAAGCTTTACTGATCAATGGACTAGTGGACATGGGGACCTGGGGATAGGGGACAAGCTCACAGGAAATCAGGGCTTCGTATATTCATTGTATATAAATCTGTTAATTTATGGCATAATATATTTTTTTGACCCTGCCGCAGATCGTAAAGCTTATCTATGGACAATGTTGAGACGGCAATTTACATGTTAACACATGGTGAATATCAAAATGCCTCAATGACTGACAAATTGGCAAAGTCGACAAAAATGCTGTGAATGGGCCAAGTCATTGATAGCCACGATGAGTAGACTTTAAGCCGCATGGGAAAGTGATTCTTTGAGAACTTCCCAATTTAAATAGAATCGTTACCAGCTAGGCTAGAAAGTAACCTTGCCATATTTTATTCAAATCACACTTCTGTTCTCAAGGTTTTTGTTTAATACCTGCGACGACATTCCCTTACATGTATTAACGCATAAAACGCATAAGATAAAAACTTTAAGACCACTTTTAACCATAAAGTTTATTGAAGTTCTTTTATTAAACAGTTGGTCCTAGAATAGGATAGGGCCTTTGTTTGTGTAAATGAAACCATTCAATCTTTTTTTTGACGGCCGCCATAATTCCATAACCAACAAGAGCCACGAGTTGGATTATTAAATATGCAACACATCCAATAACATAAGAACCTAAAGCGGCGATCCCCATCTCGAGTAACAGAAAACCTTAAATTGCTAAACTAGTAATACGTAAACCATTTTAAAATAAATATTCATGGCAATTTGCTGATTCGTTACCCACAAAGGTGTGAATTATTCGTTTAATCCACCAATAATTCCCTGATCTAAAAACCTCAATTTGTGAAACCACCAATTAGTGAATACACTTAATTTGGCAACACCACAAATTCACAAACATAGTCATTCCATGTTCATCCAAAACGAGCAAAGGAAATCCACTTTAGGGCAGAGCCGAAGTTCATATACTTTTGCTTTAATTTAAAAAAAAAATTCAAGAAAATTCCTTTATCAATATAGTATATTTTTATATTTTATAAAACGTATAGTCGTTTTTATTAATGATATTAATTTGGAAAAAAATCAAAACCTTTTGTATTAAAATACATCATTTTGGACATGTATGGTGAACTATTTCATATTCATAAATAAGACAGATGCTGCCAAACGTTTTTCCACAAGTCTAAAAAAAACCATTTTGATCCAATTAAATCAATAATTATTATATATAATTTTTAAATAATTTTCCCTTTTTTTCTCACTCAAAAAATGTGTCAAATAATACATCAAAGCGGCATAATTATAGGCAAAACAAAACCCACTTAATTATATTACCATCAGCAGAATATGGAAACAACAGTGAGAGGCGTAGACGAAAACTCACTGGCTTTATTAAAAAAATGGGGATTCAACAAAAAAACAAAAAGCAGCGGCACAAAAAGCAGCTGCCAGAACATTAATTTATAATTATTTGGGGTACCATCAAAGGGTTAATCATAACAAGTGGCACTCGTGTGGGAGCACAAAAATGAAAATGGAAAGTTTGGACAACGTGATTAGAAGCTAGAAATATACCCTATTGTTAAAGGTTGTACATATATATGTTTTGGTTTTGCATTTAGAGAAAAAGACTATGCATTTTTAGTACTCATGGTCAATATAGTCAAAAGAATTCGTATAATAAATATTTTCTTAGAAAGGGTATTGAGTTTACCCCTCCTTTGAAGCGAAGCTCGAAGCCATCTGCCCCTATTTTTTGGGGAGAAAAACAAATTTGAAATTAATTTTTCTAGCTGTGGGTGTTCAACACACACTTGAGATGTGGATATAAAAATACAGACTTGGCACATTCAAACGTCGACATTTACGTTCTCCTGTCACCAGTCGCCCGTCTCATTAGAGTTAATCAAAACTGAATACTTTAATCAAAGTGGTTTGATTGCAAATCGTTTTCACTCACACTTTCAGGTTTTCGCTTTCAATTCAATTGATTGTGAAGCAAATAGGGGCTAGGTAGGGGGAATTGCGCCAACCTAGACAACAACAACGTCAAAATTAATTTGAAGAAATTAGCAAAACGTGAAACCGCATACTCAACCAGCCACAATCGGCGATAAAAAACGGCCTGCACGAGACATTCGTGGGATAAAAATCAAAGAGCCAGGGAATTTGAGAATTTCCAAAAGATTGGGCAGATGCTCAATTTCACCAATTCAACGTCTAAGGCTATGTGTCTGTGTCAGAGGTCGTGACTTATCAATTTGCGATTGTTTAAACAATTAAAGTTCGCCCACGCACAATCCTTGGGCTTGGCGACGTGACCTGGGTGGCTCAAGTAAGGCAATTAACTGATTAACCACGTCGTTTATTAGTTCTGCAGGGCACAAATTTGTGGCCCAAATAATCCGACTCGAATCAACGAAAACAAGTGCAGAAGCTAATTAATTAGATACATCTCTAACGAGAGAAGTAGAGAAAAACTTCCTTGCTAAGTCAGCTAACAAATTGACGTACCGAAAAGATAGTGATGATATAATCCATATTTTACTTTTTTTCCCCAAATAAATTTAAGTTTATTTAAGTTTATTTAAGAGTTTAAAGGCTAATTTTTTTAAATAATTATCTGGGAAACCTAAGACTTGAGATTCATGAAAATTATCATATCATCAACAACAACATCCGCTGGTAGTTTAACAAACGTTAACAAATGAGATTTGATTGTTTATTGTGGCGGCCGAATAAAAGATATTTTTGCTTCTGTGTGTGATTTTATTTTTGTGGATTTTTCGTGTTTATTTTGCGGCCAACATTAACGAGCGGAAATCAGTTATTGATAAGCATCGGCAAATGACAAATTAATTGAAAGCCTTTGTGTTGAATCATCGGCCCATGTGTGGTTGGCAGTTTCAATGGCAAAGGATGGCTCGACTCAATCAAATTAATGAACTGCCATGGGTGGCCAATGGCCATGATTGGTTAAGGGCTCAAAACGCTTCTGTAATCTATATGTGGCAAGCCTCTTTAAAGTAATTAAAATTTAATTCCGCCTTCCCTCCTCCGAATCTTAATGCTATTTAATCTCTCTGCACGAGACTCGAGTCAACAGCGAACACCTGGCCGAGTTCGAAACACTTCAATATGTACGGGCACTCGAACTGCCGAGTGGAAACTACTTAGCCAACACTTGCCCTGAGCACTGAGTTGGTCATCCTCCAAATGACTTTTGCATCGATTGGCTAAGGACAATAGACCAAAAACAAAAAAAGAAGTCGCATTTGTTGCGCCGCAGGACAGGAAACGGAAGTGAGAAACAATCGATTCGCCTTGACCGAACCAGGACCTCCTGCGGCATCCTACATACTACCAACTGAAGTGAACTCAACTCCATGAATGAATCCCGAAAAAACAGCTAGAAGGAGAATACTCCTAAATACATTTCCATTTATTGTTTATTTGAAAACGTTTTATCTCAAGCTGGGAATTCATTCATCTGCCGTTTGACTTTCCGGCTCTTTCGCCTTATACAATTTCTTGGCTTTTGTTTAAATTTGTTAATGAAAAATTGTCTTTACCTTGTCTTGCTAGCAAGCTGCTTTTTAGGAAAATATTCTCTAGTTCCCTGAGCATCAAATATGCAAATATTACTTTTTAAGTTTAATTGTCTGTTGTCAACGAATTTGTTTACTTGAAGACCCAGAAGGGAGATAAGTTGCTAAAAGTCATTATTTTCGTTTACCATGTCCTATTTATAAATGAGTTTTTTATTGTATCTTCCTATGCTACACAAATGTCTTTAAGCTTCCTAGAATTCCGAAGGAGTATCCCTTATTTATGTCTTACACTGTAAATAATATGTTATCGCTATTTAAATTAGTGGAAGTCTTAGAAACTCTAGGGTTTTTATTATTTTATTAAACTAATTCTTCTGAAATATTCGTTATCTTTTATTTACTAAACATTATTTTCATATTTAAGTTAAGTGTAACGAACCCCTTATTTAAACGCAGATTTGAACCCTTTGTACTTCCATATTGTATTACTTATCAACGAAAAGCTTCAATATTTGCCAGTTGAATAAACACAATGGTGTTTGCTTAGCTGCAAAGCTGATTTAGATAAGATTTGATCCAGTACATCCTGTTTGACTTGGATACCCCTGATTTTCTAGCAACAGCGGCTCACCAATCATTAATATATGAAGATATAATGACATCTATTTTAAGTAGTATTACGCCACATGAGCAGTTTCTAGAAGGTAAAATTAGGTTCTTACTTGTTTAAAAAAAAAGATGATAGGGAAATAATATACATAAACTGAAAGGTGTGTTTTTACGACTATGATTATATTTCAGGTTATTTGATTACGTGACAGTTTTCTTTAATATGTCTCGTAAAATTACGCAGGCAGTAAAAATTGTAATTGCTGGATTTGTACATTCTTAAGTTTGTCTGTCTCTTTATGTAAATTATGTTAACATAATTAATAGCTCAAGACGCAATAAGAAAAATACACTTCTAGTACGTTAATATTTATTTGAACTATCCATGCTTTCCATTTTGGTTAATAAATATTTACCAGCTTCGGTATCATTTGTATTATGTTTCCTTTCCATTTTAGGTCCATCAGACCCAACCCTTTCAATCGTCGACCATAAAACTGATACTAAGTGTTGAGCTAACAAAGTGAGTGCCATAAATTACAGATATATCGAGAATTCGAGAAGCAGCGCCCAGAGATGCAAACCCATATCCCAAAATTCAAAAGTATTCATAAGTCCGTTAAATGAAATGCATTCAAGCTGCGAAGTGACCAGCGGCGTCTGGACCATTTAAAACTCATGAAACGCGACACTTTTACCTTAGAATGGATTCCGGTTAATGCAACCTTTTCTATCCCTACTCTGCATAAAAATTGGGCCAGTAGAAAATGATGGCGACAGGTAGCCTGGCGACAAACAGGTAACAGAAATCTACAGGCATTCGTAGTTCTTTGTAAGTGACGTGGAACGTGGTTTGGAAGACGTTTCTGAAGAAGTTCGACCACAAGGCGCCGCAATTATTTACAAAAGTTCTACTGCGAAATCCTCACTCTGTGTCAAAGCTAAACATATTTTATAGTCGGATTTTTATTTTCCAAAGAGGGAAATACATACAGAAATTAAACAATTAATCTATGGGCGGGGTACTAGGGGGGGAAAAGTTGTCTTTCTTATGACGGGTCGTTTAGTTGGATCCACAGGATCATTTTTGGGTGGACTTTCATATTTGGGTGGACTATCATTTTTGGGTGGACTATCATTTTTGGGTGGACTATCATTTTTGGGTGGACTATCATTTTTGGGTTGTGAAGCACCCAGTGCTACACAGACTGCAAACACTGGAAGCAAAACATTATTTAAAAAGTCTGTGGCTTACAATGAAAACTTACGTATAAATATAGCAAAAAACGCAGAGAACCTCATCTTAAAAGAGATGATCTTATAAAAGTTTGACGCTAAATGGTTTGCTTTTATAGACTATTCGAGGTTATGTAATCAGTTCCCAATTACTTCAGCTTGACTTTTACATTTAAAGATTGTAATATAATTATTTCACCTAGTTGTTGTTTTAAGATTTTTTTGATAAGCTTTTTTTATTTATTTAATTTAAGCATACAGTACTACATTAACTACTATGACAGGCGAAGCATTTTGGGAAATCACTTTGGACAGCAGTACACGAGGTGGCAAACTGCGTGCCTTAGAGGGCGCATAAGGACTTTATATATAGATACAGCCGAAGAATTAAACATTTTCTGTGTGCGTCCGATCGAATATAATAATTGAAAGGTGTTGCTTTAATTATATAATTTTAGAAATTTAGAAATTTTGTTAACTTTGAACCAAGTTCGGTTCACAACATTAGGGCTGGAGAGCAATTAAAACCATCCCGATCCGACTCATTCAAAAGGTCTTCAAGAAATACGATGTACAGCATTTAAAAATTGAAAATTAGTCTAGGTTGTCTATCTGGTTGTCTGTTTGATTTATTAAAATTAAATTCAGGAAAAAAATTGTAAAGCTTGTTAATGAAATGTGAGAAGTTTTTTTTTTTTAATTTTGGCATCAAAACAAACTTTAACTGCGTGGGTATTGGATCTGGGTATCTCCATGTTAAATCGTTTAGTTATATCTCTTTTAGTCTCTCAGATACATGTGTTCGTACGGACGGACGGACAGACCGACAGACGGACAGTCGGTCTATATCCTATATATACTACCATCTTTGGTAATTTTGATTGGTTTTGGTTTTCTAAAAAAAATTGTATAACAGTCGGCTAACTATATCCGATATGTGATTTATATCCGATCTTACCCGAAGTTAGTTTTCTTTTCTGGTTTTAAATTTATATTGGAAGTCTTAAGGAACAAGCCTGTATAAAGAAAAGTGGCTTATGTAGTAACCAAAGTTTTGGAAACATTTTAAATACATTTTGGCAAAAGCTGTATATTGTATATATTTCACTTGTATTTCATAAAAAACTCACAAGTTTTAAAAGCTAACGTTTAAAATGTTTTTAGTTTAAAAACGTAGAAATATAACACACAACACTAAGAACTTCATCTCTATGCCTTCTATAAGAATTCTTATTCTTATAGGCCACGTGGATTATTCCCACGTGGTGGGAGGGTTGTCCTTGTTACGTTAGGTTGGTTAGGTGGATCATTTTTGGGTGGGCTATCATCATTTTTGGGTGGACTATCATCATTTTTGGGTGGACTATCATCATTTTTGGGTGGACTATCATCATTTTTGGGTCGACTATCATCATTTTTGGGTTTAAGTGGGCTATCATTTTTTGGTGGAATATCATTTTTTGGTGGAATGTCATTTTTGGGTGGTGGAGCACCCACACCTAGTCCTACACAGACTGCAAACACTGGAAACAAAACATTGTTTAAAAATTCTGTGGTTTACAATGAAAACTTACGCATACATATAGCAAAGAACGCAGAGAGCTTCATCTTGAAAGAGGTGATCTTCTTATAAAATTTAGATGCTAAATGGTTTGCTTTTATAGGCTATTCGAGGTTATGTAATCATTCCCAATTAGTTCAGCTTGGCTTTTACATTTAAAGATTGTAATATATTTATTTCCTGGGGATATGGTTCATCGAGTTTTTTGTCTTAATAAATTTTTTATGTTTTTAAGGCGTAGAATTCCGGGACATAACTTTGACAGTACACAAGCAGTACACAAGGTGGCGAACCGCATACTTTGGCGGTTGCCTGAGGACTCTTAATATGGCGGAAGAATTCCAAATTTTCTGTGTGCGTCGGATTTGATATTTTGCTTTATTTATATAATTTTTGTTACAACATTTGCCAAAAGTGTTGGACAATAAAGCTCACAGATAAGATATTTTTCTTCAATCAAATTATGCTTTACAATAAGCGTCGATTAACACCTCAATCATCCCAGTCCAAATCGTTCAAAAATAATTTAAGAACTGATTGATGGGAAATGCAACAGTATTGGGGTTTTTAAAGTTAGATTTTGGTTTGGTTTTCTATGCATTATTTTTTTGGCAATACGACATAACGAATTTCTTATGGATCGGACTGCCATATAACTAAACGATCGGAAGTGACCAAACTTCCGTTTTTTTTGAAGATAGAAGGTTTGAACTTTCTACAGATACAGATATTTTGCCAATTGATCCGACCTATAAGATCCAAAATTCATAAGGATCGGCCGCCTTTATAAATGAACGATTGGAAATCGAGTTTGGTAAAACCACCAGCTTTAGTATTTTTAAATATGAAAGCCTGGGACTTTCTTAAAATTTTATATTTTAATAATTTGTTTTTATTACGAAATTCTCATAAGAATCGGCAAACTATATCCCATATTTGCGATATCGGTTCGGATATATGTATATCCGATCTTAACTGCAAGGGTATGTCATCTCGGCTCCGCTCGAAGCTAGCTTTCCCTTGTTTTAATATTAAATCTTTTACTTGTAGTTACAATGATATTTTATAAAAAAAATCGCAAGTTATAAGTGAAAAACTAACGAAAAAAAGGAAGAACGCAGCACTGAAAACCTCATCTTAAGGAGAATGTCTTCTTAAAGACCTCTAGTGTACGGTGGTGGGTTGTACTGGGAAGATCTGAATGGTTTTGGATAAGGATCATTTTTGGGTGGATTTTCATCATTTTTCGGTGGTGACGCCACACCCAGTCCTATACAGACTGCAAACACTGGAAACAAAACATTTTTAAAAAAGTCAGTGGTTTACACGGAAAACGTACATAGAAATGTAGCAAAGAACGTTGGAAGCCTCATATTGAAGGGGCTGATCTTGTTATGAAAGTCTAATTCTAAATGGTTTGCTTTTATAGACTGTTTGAAAACTTTATTTAAGCATTTTTAATTAGTTCGGCTTGACATTAAATTCAAAAGTTTGTTTTACCAGGTTGTGGTTCTTAAATTAAAAAAGAAGGGAAAGCTTACATGGGCGGAGCCAAATTTAATATACCCTTGCAGTTAAAATCGTATATATACAGCAAATGTAGGATAATGTATGTATATATAAATATCTATTATTTTAATATATTTATTTATATTTACAATAATTATTTAAAAAAAAGTCTCAAGCTTTTATCTTTTAAAATACGAAAGTTACCGTACCAAAAACAACAAAATACCAAAGTAAAAAATACCATTTTCGATATAGCAGCTATAATATTGGTCGGCTAATTCTGATGATGTTTGGAAGATCGAATTTATTGACCAAAAATATAATCTGTAGGAAATTCCAACTTTTTATGGGGTCATTATTTCATCGTTATGGGGTCATCATTTTCGAGCGTACAGTTATATGGCAGCTGTAGGATACAGTCCGAAAATCCTAAAACCATTATTCATTGAATAATTTATTGAAATCAGATGTAGAACCTAGTTTATGTTCACATTAGAAAATAATATTTTCAAGTTATACAAAATCTCAAAGTAGGTAAAATTTTTTTATAAAAACTATATTTTTTATTTTAAAAGTTTGTGTGATTTCTTTCATTGATTCGTTTTCTTTGTTGTAAGCCCATATTTTTCGATCCATTTTTGTGGAAATGTAAATGGTCGATCATCCCCATAACCTTCGGGTGTTGTCCAGTTATTTGGTGGCCAGTGACTCCGCGCCTCACTTCGTCCTATGTAGACTACATACACTGAAAACAAAATATTGCCTATCAACTCTGCAACTTTAAATAAAAAACTTACGATACAATATAGCGCACAACACTGGGAACTTCATCGTAAAGAAACTTATTTTCTTATGGTTTGTCTATATGGACAGTTTCATATTATATAAAATATCTTAATTAGTCAGACTTGACATTTAGTTTTGAATGACATGGAAAATAAAACGTGAATCACAATATTAAATTTTTAGAATTTGAGAGTCGTAACTGCCTTCTTTATACATAAATTCGAGGGGTTTCTTAAAACATTATTTTATGAGACATTTTAATTCAATATTCCCTTGTAGAGGGTTTTATAATTTTGGTCAAAAGTGTGCAAAGCAGTGAAGACAGTTCATCAATGAAAACTTACGCATAAATATAGCAAAGAACGCAGAGAGCTTCATCTTGAAAGAGGTGATCTTCTTATAAAATTAAGATGCTAAATGGTTTGCTTTTATAGGCTATTCGAGGTTATGTAATCATTCCCAATTAGTTCAGCTTGGCTTTTACATTTAAAGATTGTAATATATTTATTTCCTGGGGATATGGTTCATCGAGTTTTTTGTCTTAATAAATTTTTTATGTTTTTAAGGCGTAGAATTTCGGGACATAACTTTGACAGTACACAAGCAGTACACAAGGTGGCGAACCGCATGCTTTGGCGGTTGCCTGAGGACTCTTAATATGGCGGAAGAATTCCAAATTTTCTGTGTGCGTCGGATTTGATATTTTGCTTTATTTATATAATTTTTGTTACAACATTTGCCAAAAGTGTTGGACAATAAAGCTCACAGATAAGATATTTTTCTTCAATCAAATTATACTTTACAATAAGCGTCGATTAACACCTCAATCATCCCAGTCCAAATCGTTCAAAAATAATTTAAGAACTGATTGATGGGAAATGCAACAGTATTGGGGTTTTTAAAGTTAGATTTTGGTTTGGTTTTCTATGCATTATTTTTTTGGCAATACGACATAACGAATTTCTTATGGATCGGACTGCCATATAACTAAACGATCGGAAGTGACCAAACTTCCGTTTTTTTTGAAGATAGAAGGTTTGAACTTTCTACAGATACAGATATTTTGCCAATTGATCCGACCTATAAGATCCAAAATTCATAAGGATCGGCCGCCTTTATAAATGAACGATTGGAAATCGAGTTTGGTAAAACCACCAGCTTTAGTATTTTTAAATATGAAAGCCTGGGACTTTCTTAAAATTTTATATTTTAATAATTTGTTTTTATTACGAAATTCTCATAAGAATCGGCAAACTATATCCCATATTTGCGATATCGGTTCGGATATATGTATATCCGATCTTAACTGCAAGGGTATGTCATCTCGGCTCCGCTCGAAGCTAGCTTTCCCTTGTTTTAATATTAAATCTTTTACTTGTAGTTACAATGATATTTTATAAAAAAAATCGCAAGTTATAAGTGAAAAACTAACGAAAAAAAGGAAGAACGCAGCACTGAAAACCTCATCTTAACGAGAATGTCTTCTTAAAGACCTCTAGTGTACGGTGGTGGGTTGTACTGGGAAGATCTGAATGGTTTTGGATAAGGATCATTTTTGGGTGGATTTTCATCATTTTTCGGTGGTGACGCCACACCCAGTCCTATACAGACTGCAAACACTGGAAACAAAACATTTTTAAAAAGTCAGTGGTTTACACGGAAAACGTACATAGAAATGTAGCAAAGAACGTTGGAAGCCTCATATTGAAGGGGCTGATCTTGTTATGAAAGTCTAATTCTAAATGGTTTGCTTATATAGACTGTTTGAAAACTTTATTTAAGCATTTTTAATTAGTTCGGCTTGACATTAAATTCAAAAGTTTGTTTTACCAGGTTGTGGTTCTTAAATTAAAAAAGAAGGGAAAGCTTACATGGGCGGAGCCAAATTTGATATACCCTTGCAGTTAAAATCGGATACATACAGCAAATGTAGGATAATGTATGTATATATAAATATCTATTATTTTAATATATTTATTTATATTTACAATAATTATTTAAAAAAAGTCTCAAGCTTTTATCTTTTAAAATACGAAAGTTACCGTACCAAAAACAACAAAATACCAAAGTAAAAAATACCATTTTCGATATAGCAGCTATAATATTGGTCGGCTAATTCTGATGATGTTTGGAAGATCGAATTTATTGACCAAAAATATAATCTGTAGGAAATTCCAACTTTTTATGGGGTCATTATTTCATCGTTATGGGGTCATCATTTTCGAGCGTACAGTTATATGGCAGCTGTAGGATACAGTCCGAAAATCCTAAAACCATTATTCATTGAATAATTTATTGAAATCAGATGTAGAACCTAGTTTATGTTCACATTAGAAAATAATATTTTCAAGTTATACAAAATCTCAAAGTAGGTAAAATTGTTTTATAAAAACTTTATTTCATATTTTAAAAGTTTGTGTGCTTTCTTTCATTGATTCGTTTTCTTTGTTGTACGCCCAAGTTTTTCGATCCATGCTGGAAATGTATATGTTCGAAAATCCCCATAACCTTCGGGTGGTGTCCAGTTATTTGGTGGCCAGTGACTCCGCGCCTCACTCCGTCCTATGTAGACTACATACACTGAAAACCAAATATTGCCTATCAACTCTGCAACTTTAAATAAAAAACTTACGATACAATATAGTGCACAACACTGGGAACTTCATCGTAAAGAAACTTATTTTCTTATGGTTTGTCTATATGGACAGTTTCATATTATATAAAATATCTTAATTAGTCAGACTTGACATTTAGTTTTGAATGACATGGAAAATAAAACGTGAATCACAATATTAAATTTTTAGAATTTGAGAGTCGTAACTGCCTTCTTTATACATAAATTCGAGGGGTTTCTTAAAACATTATTTTATGAGACATTTTAATTCAATATTCCCTTGTAGAGGGTTTTATAATTTTGGTCAAAAGTGTGCAAAGCAGTGAAGACATTTCATCAATGAAAACTTACGCATAAATATAGCAAAGAACGCAGAGAGCTTCATCTTGAAAGAGGTGATCTTCTTATAAAATTAAGATGCTAAATGGTTTGCTTTTATAGGCTATTCGAGGTTATGTAATCATTCCCAATTAGTTCAGCTTGGCTTTTACATTTAAAGATTGTAATATATTTATTTCCTGGGGATATGGTTCATCGAGTTTTTTGTCTTAATAAATTTTTTATGTTTTTAAGGCGTAGAATTTCCGGACATAACTTTGACAGTACACAAGCAGTACACAAGGTGGCGAACCGCATGCTTTGGCGGTTGCCTGAGGACTCTTAATATGGCGGAAGAATTCCAAATTTTCTGTGTGCGTCGGATTTGATATTTTGCTTTATTTATATAATTTTTGTTACAACATTTGCCAAAAGTGTTGGACAATAAAGCTCACAGATAAGATATTTTTCTTCAATCAAATTATACTTTACAATAAGCGTCGATTAACACCTCAATCATCCCAGTCCAAATCGTTCAAAAATAATTTAAGAACTGATTGATGGGAAATGCAACAGTATTGGGGTTTTTAAAGTTAGATTTTGGTTTGGTTTTCTATGCATTATCTTTTTGGCAATACGACATAACGAATTTCTTATGGATCGGACTGCCATATAACTAAACGATCCACCAGCTTTAGTATTTTTAAATATGAAAGCCTGGGACTTTCTTAAAATTTTATATTTTAATAATTTGTTTTTATTACGAAATTCTCATAAGAATCGGCAAACTATATCCCATATTTGCGATATCGGTTCGGATATATGTATATCCGATCTTAACTGCAAGGGTATGTCATCTCGGCTCCGCTCGAAGCTAGCTTTCCCTTGTTTTAATATTAAATCTTTTACTTGTAGTTACAATGATATTTTATAAAAAAAATCGCAAGTTATAAGTGAAAAACTAACGAAAAAAAGGAAGAACGCAGCACTGAAAACCTCATCTTAAGGAGAATGTCTTCTTAAAGACCTCTAGTGTACGGTGGTGGGTTGTACTGGGAAGATCTGAATGGTTTTGGATAAGGATCATTTTTGGGTGGATTTTCATCATTTTTCGGTGGTGACGCCACACCCAGTCCTATACAGACTGCAAACACTGGAAACAAAACATTTTTAAAAAAGTCAGTGGTTTACACGGAAAACGTACATAGAAATGTAGCAAAGAACGTTGGAAGCCTCATATTGAAGGGGCTGATCTTGTTATGAAAGTCTAATTCTAAATGGTTTGCTTATATAGACTGTTTGAAAACTTTATTTAAGCATTTTTAATTAGTTCGGCTTGACATTAAATTCAAAAGTTTGTTTTACCAGGTTGTGGTTCTTAAATTAAAAAAGAAGGGAAAGCTTACATGGGCGGAGCCAAATTTGATATACCCTTGCAGTTAAAATCGGATATATACAGCAAATGTAGGATAATGTATGTATATATAAATATCTATTATTTTAATATATTTATTTATATTTACAATAATTATTTAAAACAAGAAAGCAAAGCTAACTTCGGGCGGAGCCGAAGTTTATATACCCTTGCAGCTATAACCGGATATATATCGCAAAAATCGGATATAGTTGGCCGATCCTTATGATTACATCATAATAAAACCAATTAATTACAATAAAGAATCTAAAAAAAAGTCCCAAGCTTCTATCTTCAAAAATTCGAAAGTTGATATTTCTACCAAATACCATTTCCGATCGTTCAGTTATATGTCAGCTATAAGATATAGTCAACCGATCGTTATGAAATTTGGTAGATCGGATTGACTGACCAAAAATAGAATGTGTACCAAGTGCCAGCTTTCTATCTTCAAAAACACGAAAGTTGGGTCATTTCCGATCGTTCAGTTATATGGAAGCTATAGGATATAGTCGGCCGATCCTAATGAAATATTGTAGGTCGGATTAACTGACCAAAAATATAATCTGTACCAAGTTCCAGCTTTCTATCTTCAAAAACACGAAAGTTGGGTCATTTCCGATCGTTCAGTTATATGGCAGCTATAAGATATAGTCGGCCGATACTTATGATTATCGTATTATTATAATACGTCGTATTATTTTGCCAAAAATAGCTCTCATGTCAAATTTGAACTCTCTAACTCTAAAAACACCAAAGTTATACCATTTCCGATCAATCAGTTATATGGCAGCTATAGGATATAGTCGGCCGATCCGGGCCGTTCCGACTTATATACTGCGTGCAAAGGAAAGAAGGGTGTGTGCAAAGTTTCAAGACGATAGCTTTAAAACTGAGAGACTAGTTTGCGTAGAAACAGACAGACGGACAGACGGACAGACGGACATGCTCATATCAACTCAGGAGGTGATCCTGATCAAGAATATATATACTTTATAGGGTCGGAGATGTCTCCTTCACTGCGTTGCACACTTTTGGACAAAATTATAATACCCTCTGCAAGGGTATAAAAAAGTCTCAAGCTTTTATCTTTAAAAATACGAAAGTTACCGTACCAAAAACAACAAAATACCAAAGTAAAAAATACCATTTTCGATATAGCAGCTATAATATTGGTCGGCTAATTCTGATGATGTTTGGAAGATCGAATTTATTGACCAAAAATATAATCTGTAGGAAATTCCAACTTTTTATGGGGTCATTATTTCATCGTTATGGGGTCATCATTTTCGAGCGTACAGTTATATGGCAGCTGTAGGATACAGTCCGAAAATCCTAATACCATTATTCATTGAATAATTTATTGAAATCAGATGTAGAACCTAGTTTATGTTCACATTAGAAAATAATATTTTCAAGTTATACAAAATCTCAAAGTAGGTAAAATTTTTTTATAAAAACTATATTTCATATTTTAAAAGTTTGTGTGCTTTGTGTAAGCCCAAGTTTTTCGATCCATTTTTGTGGAAATGTAAATGTTCGATAATCCCCATAACCTTCGGGTGGTGTCCAGTTATTTGGTGGCCAGTGACTCCGCGCCTCACTCCGTCCTATGTAGACTACATACACTGAAAAAAAAATATTGCCTATCAACTCTGCAACTTTAAATAAAAAACTTACGATACAATATAGTGCACAACACTGGGAACTTCATCGTAAAGAAACTTATTTTCTTATGGTTGGCCTATATGGACAGTTTCATATTATATAAAATATCTTAATTAGTCAGACTTGACATTTAGTTTTGAATGACAAGGAAAATAAAACGTGAATCACAATATTAAATTTTTAGAATTTGAGAGTCGTAACTGCCTTCTTTATACATAAATTCGAGGGGTTTCTTAAAACTTTATTTTATGAGACATTTTAATTCAATATTCCCTTGTAGAGGGTTTTATAATTTTGGTCAAAAGTGTGCAAAGCAGTGAAGACAGTGAGACACCTCCGCCCCTATAAAGTATATATTATTGATCAGGATCACCTCCTGAGTTGATATACATCGCCGTCTGAGTCTGTCTGTCTTTCTGTTTCTACGCGAAATAGTCTCTCAGTTTTAAAGCCTATTTAAGACGCCCATTCCTCTGCACCCAGTATATGAGCTGGGATTGGCCGACTATATCCTATGTCTGTCATATAACTGATTGATCAGTAATGCTATAACTTTGGTGTTTTTAGAGTTAGGGAGTTGGGATTTCCTATAAATTCTATTTTTGGAAAAATAATACGACATACCAAATTTCAAAGAACGTGACCGACTATATCTTAAAGCTACCATATAATTTAACGATAAAATATTGTATGTTGTAAATATACCGACTTTTGTATAGCTTGTGACATTTTGAAGATTTTGTATTCTAAGAAATTGGTTTTATATTAAAAATTCTGATGAGGATTGGCCAACTATATCCGATATTAGAGACATATGTATATCCGATTTTAACAGCAAGGGTATATCAACTTTGGCTCCGCCCGAAGTTCCTTTCTAGTTTTATGATCAATTTTTTATCACGTAAATAAATTTGTAAAATACAAATATGGATTGCAAAAAGAATCCAATTGTTTGACCTTTGACAAGCACAGCATTTTTGGCAACTTTGGAGAATATAAAGGTCCAAGAAACTTACTTTTTAATTAATGTTAAGATATACTTCTTTATATATCTCATGTTTCATATGTTAAAGTTACCAAAACAAAATAATGTAATTTCAAACATCGAATTCTATTTAAACTTTTCAAAATATGGGAAAAATAGTTCAAAATTTTGGTTTCGATAATTTAATTTTGGACTTCCGAAAGGCGTTGTTGTAAATTCTTCTGTTCACTCGGACTCATAATCTCAGAGTTGAAATTGGCAAATCGATTGTGAACCATCTTTCCTCCAATATCCTTCACATCGTCCTCAACATTGTAGGTAATAGTCCTGAGCTTTCCGTTGATCATTTTCTGGGTTCTAGAATTTGAGCTAGAATGTATACTGACTAAGGGAGCAGCCTCAGACATTCTCCAGAAGAAAGCCGAAACTAAATTCAAAGTTAAATTGAAGGATACTTAAAAATTTTTAAACAAACTTACGGCAAATGCATATTAGACCAGTGTAGTGCATGATGCGGATTAATTTTTACAACTGAGAGAAATCTAAGGTAATATCGCTCTATATAACAAACGCTTAGCCAATCACATAATTTAGTTTGAAAGTAACCATAGAAAATTGGATTTGTACCGCCCAAGGAGATCATGCCTTTGGAATGTCTTAAGTTTATAAAGACTTTTAAAAGTAATGAATTATCACCATGGGAATCGTATTTTTATCGGGACATTTTCTTTCAACAAATTGTCATCTACCAGACTCTCCCAATTTACTTTTTGAGTCTGATCTCTGATTATTTATCTACCGTATCTGTTTCGATTTGAGTACCAAATAAGGGGCTCCAAGTCATCTTTAAGTATTTTCTTTGCCTCTATATCGGCCAATTGAAACAACTCCTTTAAGGAGAGCTTCTCCTCACGACCCTGACACCTCTTAATATAATTCCTCAAGCTCAAAAACCAAAGCTCTGCCTCTATTATGTTGGTTTGTATCTCCCTTAGTTTTTCATCTAATTCCTTAATGGTCTTCTTTTCACTGACTATGGTTGTATTAAATTTATCCACAGTGGCAAACAACGTGATATATTACCTCAGATATTATTGAAAGTAATTAAATTTAATTTTCCTTAAATGTCACAATTTGAATTAAAATAGGCTTGACATTTAATAAAGATTATTTGTTCGTTGTTTTTTTAATTTTTGGTTTAGATTTTAGTAGACTATGGTACATGTGATGCTAAAAATGTTACAATGGTAAGGAATTCTTGAAGTATGAGTCTTACATATCTTTGTCTAACTTGATCGTGTATTAAAAATCTACATGCAACTTTCTTCACCTAACGTCGCTGAAAATAATAAGCTAATTTAAATTAAAATCATGCTTATAACATTAAGAGAAGCTCGTTAATTAGCCAAAAAATAGATTTATATTTCTTCTTGCTTTGGAGCCTCAAAGCCCTGCAAGTCAAATTAATGTGAGAATCAAAAAAGATTTCGCAGCATTGTCTTGAAATGAAATGAAACTCACAATGAAACCAGACGAATATTTTCAGCAACATCCGCCGTTGTAGCTTGGAACAGAATAAAAAAAAAAACAATCAAATAAAAGTTTCGCCCACATCCACTCCGAATGCAAATGAAGTCTTGCGCCTGCGCACGCGTCAAAATTGAAAGCGGAATCGGCCGTGGGAGTCGGAGAGGGAGTGGGTTAAACGGAGACACGGCCATTTCGTAGGCGAGCGGTCATTCAGTGGCTGGGTCCCCACCAACGCCTTATCGGGTGGGTGTCCACTGCTAATTGATAAAAAAAAAACAAAACATCAAAATTATACACAAGTTGCTCGCATTTTGTCTGATGTTTGGCGCAAAACCTACATTTTTGGACAAAAGCCGTTACTACCTTATGATCATGCCGTTTTTGGGTTTTAATTCTTCTTTTGTATAAGTAAATGCGATTTTTCCTTTTATGAATTGAAATACGCATTTAACAGAATTTAAAATTAAATATATTTAAGCCTATGATGGATGTCGCTTTAACTTCAAGATTTAATTTAAGATATTACCAACCTTCAAAAAGATATCTGATATCTAGAATCTAGACCTTACAAAAACTTGCAATTTTGTCTATTTTTTTTCTTCTCCTCATGAACATCTCAATTAACTAACTTTCGATTTTATTCTTGCATAATGTTGAGACCTCATCTGGCTTGTCAGCATTTCCCACAGACTAGAGACAATGTCTCATTTCTTATTTTGATTGTCGTATGATGAAGATGGCTCAGAATGGTGACTCTGGTTTGGAGCCAGCTTTTCACTGCAGTTTTCGATTTTAATTTCCCATGGCGGAGCTCTGTTGTATCTACCGTGATATCCAACGCTTCATAGAGCTCGGTTTCGGGGCTGGCAAACGCTTTCAGTTGCGTTCGGGAAATGACCCACTTCCGGATTAGCATGCTGCATAGATAGACCACTTTTACTGTCGCTCCATGTGGAAAAGGGACCTAAACAGAAGCCATTGTATGAGGAGAGTGGGGAAAAGGGGAGTTCACCAAAGGGCAGGGCCTAATGATGTACTAGTTACAGAGAGAGAAATCTTTTCAAGTCTTTCTAACCGAATAATTACTTAGATATGATATATAAAATTTATAACCAACCACATGCATATCTCTATAGTGTTCCAGATGACTTTGTATCTGATTTTAGTTGCATATTTTTTTTCTCTGTAAGTATCCACTTGATAAGTACATATGTATGTACATCCGCTGGGTTTCCGCGGAGCACATTGGTGTTGCATGTTTGTTGCATTTAATTGTAATTTATTTGCCAGGCCGGGACATAGAATGGGCTAGCAGAAGAACGGAAGCGAATATTTTCCGGTGGAAACTGACCCAGCCAAAGGGGAAGTCCCTTTCCTACAATATTCATCTTCTGGATGCTTGGATTGATTGTAGGGCTTGTTGAATGGGCTAATGAACTCACGTTTTCCCATTGTGGAAGTGAACCAGACTTAACCCTCTGAGATCCAAACAGAAATACCCCCACATCCTGAAGTATAAATAAGATTGGGTGTTTGGTTAGCTGTGATGTTGGATGGGACCATGCATTAAAAATTATATATTTTGTATTTTCTTGGGGCCTCAAAGGGTTAACCCAGCTGGCATGCCTGTGATGCCTTCGAATATCATCGATTTGCTGCATTACTTAAATGTCTTGGTTCCCTGGTTATTGTCGGCTTTTGCTCAAAAGGCTGAAGTACAATGCGAAGCTCCAGTCGATTGGAATTCAAGTGGAATCCATCGACACAACATCAGCAGCACTTTGCAATCAATCAGCCAACTGAACGCAACCAAGGAAGCCCGATCGAATTGCGGGCTAATTTTGCACAGAACAGCGAAAAGTGCGTCGGAAAAGGCCTCGATTTGCGGCACACTGCGGCGCGGTCCACACAACGATGCTGCAACTTCCTACTAAAGTGCCTACCAACAAGCATACACACCTGGGGCACACCTCGGATGGAGCATCAATCATCCTGCCCCCCAATCAGGTGACCCCACTCGCCGACAGCCGAACGACTACATATTCACACCAAACCTGGCATAATTTCCTCACAAGAGCAGTAGCAGGGCTAATTAGCTCTGGGTCGAGATGCTGCCAGAACCCTACCAGGGAATCCTCCTCCTCATGTGGCCAGAAGCCAGAAACCAGCAGCCAAAGCGGAAATTGTTTATTAAACAAATTCACAGGCAATTCTGACGGGGGGCCCAGCATCCGCGGTGTGGATAATGGACTTTTAATGTCCATGATAATGGACAGTGGCCTGCGAGCCAGGGCTTATTATAGGCTGTCTATTGGGGATTAGATGACACAATAATAATAGAATCGGAAGAATGCTCTGCCTCTGATTTGGAACTGAACCAGAAAGTGATATGAATAAGTGGGGGACTCAATCCCATTCTCAATAGAGAGTTCAAGATTCGTCAGATAAATGACTTAAAGAATAGTGACAGTTGATGTTACAGCATCGCATTCGTCGAGATGGATTGGCAACTTTATGACAATTATTTGTTCAATCAGCATTCCACTCTAATAGATGTCGTTTACCATTCACTTTCATTTGAAATAAAAAATTGTCTCATATGAAGCAATAGCTACAGAGTATGCAAATGCTTGCTTTGCTTTTAAAAGATAATTTGGTGACAATTGCTTTGTTTTAAAGATATGCACTTAACCTATTTTTAGAGTAGTTGCGACTGGGTACTTTGGGGTACTGTGAAAGTAAGACACCAAGTAACTTGTGTATTACCCATATACCATAGATTAGGTTTTTTTGAATACGTGCCTTTATAGACTTCCGCCTGTATAATTTTCATATAACGGTAGCACCCACATTTTTAGAGGTAGAAAAAAAATAAGTAACTAGATTTCTAAAACTTTATTGAAGAATAATTGATACTTGACGTTGATAGTTTACTCCTTAAACTAAAACTAATTTGGCAGCAACTAACACAATGCATGTTATCTAATCCTAAAACTCAACTTGTGATACTTGTAGGCCTTACGAGCGAAATTGTGGGCGTATGGTGTCCAAGTGGGCGCCACTATACTACATATTAGGCTTAAATTTATGCAAATTTAACGTCCACATATGGCCACACGTCGCTTACCATATCTTGTAAGCCCCGACGACTGCATATTGGATTTCACCGTAGAAGGTAACTGCGGCTTTAACGCATTTAATTTTCAATTTAGAGCCAAACTTCAATAGGCTACTACCTGATAATGATTATGATTGCAGCCTATTGAAGCGAAAAACTTTCCTTTTTTTATGTTTTCGTGAGAAGGCAGCACTAATTCGGTTAATCAAATGGCAGTGGGTGCTGGAATTACATCATCTTGGACAGATCAAGGCATGGAATCGACTTCCGCTCATCACGCACTCTTGAAAATGATCGTGGAGAGGGAAAGTTATCAACATCACATTACCATTATAAGCATCACCAGTGCCAGCATCAAGACCAACACCAGCAATTGCCTCAATGAGTCTGGGTAATTCCAAACGGCAAAACAATGACACATAAATCGCTGAAAAAATCAAGCGTAACATCCACGTTTTCACATTATTTTATGACTACACCCAATGCCACAAACACCCCCCCTTCACAACACACAAACACACACATTTTGATGCTGCTGCTGCTGGTGGTGGCATCTGGAAAGTTGCAAATTGGCCAAGTAGTAGAAAGCAAGGCAACAAGTCGCTCGTACTATTCAGTTACTCACACTCTGGTAATGTGAGAAAAAAGTGAAAAAGTGCAGCGTTGACACAATTGTGACTGCCAGCCAGTCAGCCAACCAGCCAGCCAGCTAGCACATCCATGAGATACTCATCCTACTCGAGCAATTGCCAGCGATTGTCTACAATAGTGCAGCAATTGCATTGCAAGTTGCAACAATGGATGTGCGGTTGACGTGGGAGTTGCAGGCTCCCATCGAGAGCAGCCTCGCCCCCGCCTGCTCAGATGCACTTTTTCAAATTCAATTCACATTGGCTGCC